ACCCTAACTAAACTAGTGTTGATGGTCCTGAAGTGCGAGCGAATTGGGCATTTCCGTTGGCCTGAAATACCCATCTGGTCACCAAGTCACCTTACGATCTAAACAAATACAGTGTGTGAAAGCATCCTCTGTAATAGTTGTCACAACCGGAATAAGAATTTATTTCCTCAAAACTCAACAGGAAATTCACAGTTTTTATTGTGCTAGGTTTCATTACTCTCTTATCCAAAGATGGCTTCAATGAGGCTAACAGCGTCATAAAAATGATGGTGCTCCCCAATTGTTTCTGGACCAGAATTCTCCCGGAAAATTGTGGTTACCGGTAACTCTGTACGTCATAAATGTTTATATTTAATGATGACGCGAATTATTGAAAGCCAGATTATGTCAGTCTTTCGGTTGGGCGGACATCTATCGCGACTAGAGGCAGATTGTCCGTCACTCGCTCATCCATGTGTGGATCGAATTCATTCGCTCTGTCGAGCAGCTATTTTAGCTCAACATTCCCCCGTCTCCCTCTCCCCCCGGGCGTGTGGAATGAACATTCCTGAAAACTCAAGCGTCGCTGAATCGTTAACCATGTGTTTTAAAGTAGTTGTTCAACTTTAACTGTTTGCCAATCCTTCTGCAAACAGCATGATTTAAGGTTTCTGGTGATGCCATAGTACTGGTATAAATTATATACGACATTCGGAACATATTCCCTGAATTTAGGTGCCACTAGCTTCTTCTCAAACTTCAAACTTCGGCCCTGACTTGTTTAATTCCGGAGCTTATGGTTTAGTTTACTTTACATTTCGGAGTTTCATTTGAAAAAAAAAACAATTTGTTTTGTGTTGGGACATGTCCTCTCGGTCGGTTGGATGCTCTCAGAGTAAATCCCAGTGAAAAGCGATTGAAATTAACACAAGACGTCTCCTGATTACTCACATCAGGTTATCAATAATGGCTACTCAGACGCCTCTCAGGTTTAACATTTGAAACAATCGTAACTGAAAGAAAGTAGGTTCCCCAAAACCACTGTGATCTGGCCACCTGAAGGCACCACCCTGAAGAGGACATTATTGTGCATGTTGGCGGAGTTTGAGTTTCATTTTTGGGTGTCATTCACAGGGTCCAAAAATAGTAACGATGGTGACAGGACGCTACTGAGCACGCTAATCCGTGTGGTTCCTACTGAAAAAACTGCCTGGTTTCCTTAACGAGCTTAAGCCCAAACCGTTACAACACAACCACGGTGATCTCAACTGCAAATAGTACGCAGTGGTGCTTGAATATCTCACTATGTATCTATTGGGATCATATATGTCGAACAACTCAAAACTGAGTCCCATGTTCACTCACTTGTGATTTCAACTTATATGGTTTCAACTCATCTAACCTTGTGACTGAAGAGGATTTTTACAACCTGCGCTTTAAGTTCTTTCCTCTTGAAAGTCCCCAGCCATAAGCTACCGTCATAACAGTCCTCAAAACTGGGCGTCCATTCTAACTTGGACAGTTATCGTTCGACTGTGCTGGTCGTAGCATTCTATATCTCGGATCTCCAAACTGCGCTATGGTGCGGATTCCTTGCCGGCAATCCAACGTTGCCCCATGCCAATGATCTCCCAAGAGGTACTTCGAAAATTCAGGGAGATCGCCCCGATTACAAAGACGATATGAAGCATAGGGACCAAAGTGAAGGAGCGCAACAGAGCCCTTGCACCTAGTGGATCAATATGGAAAAGAGAAACAGAGAAAAGCATGGTTATCATAATCGCAGTTCATACTACATCATATCTCACACCTTCACGTAGTAATAATTTTACCATTTTAGGCAACAGATCCAAGTGATTGGAATGTTAGTATTTGTTGACCAAGAACACGAAACCAAATGCACTAAATTTATAAAACCTTTTATGTCACGCTTGTGATGGTACTGCAAAATGAGCTATAAACATCTGAACGGCCAAAACGACACAATGCAGACAAGGGAAAGTTTGTTTGATCAAACAGTTGGACCGATGAAAGAGGTCTCGGTTAAAATCTTAGCGGATACATACGGCGGACCAAAGAGGTCTTGATAAAGATAGACCTACTCTACTGACCATCTGCCAAAACTCACTAGGACCGTTCACCATCACCAAGTAATTGCGAGTGATCGGTGACTCTAATGAGATTTGAAAAGACGTCGATTGGTTCCATTTTGTGCCCACTTCACTGAAGTCCTTCCATGAATAAGGCACGTCATTTGTCTTTTATTTAGAAATTCGTTTTCGAAAAGACACCAAAACAAGCCTGTTACACTCACTAATCGATCACTCCATAACAGGTAATTTTGCGTTCTGCCTATTGCATCTTGAAGTTCGTGGCAATAAACGAAAAAATCAGAGACGTAGGATCAGCAAACGTTTGGGTTTCAGATGTACAACAACCACGGTTTATTCAACACAAGGGCACCATAAACAATGAGACAATGGGTTGGAAGCAAGGGACGTGCCGAGACGAGTAAAAGTAAAACGCCCGACTGGCAGGAGAAAGGCACCTCGGATGGTACTTCGAAAAAATGCATTTTTGTCACCCTTGATCGATGGAACCTCAGCCCCCACACAACCAGTCCCCCCCCCCATCAAATGCATTAGTTCGAAAGATGCATCGAAGTACGAAGAGCAGACCGACAATCCAATGGTCACCCTGTTATATGCACAAGGGCGATGCCAGAAGCTGTTGGAGCATTGAAAGGAACCTATGAAGTGAAGATACGTTATCTTGATATCGGCTGTTTGGAACCCATATTTTTCGAAATCCCTTACCAACTTATCCAATAGCAATTTAAATCATTCACCATTTTCCCAAATCTCCAAGGAAGACGGACGTTGCCGGTCTATCTCAGATTCCTGTCTCTCTGCTCTTATATTTCAATGCCAAACATTGTATTTAGTTGGAGAAAAGCATATTGGGGCGAAACATGATAAAACTGTTCAGTAAGACGACCCCTATCTTTTCGACAACCTCTCAAAGCAGAACTTCATTTTCGTATAATATCCACCGCCAGATAGGCCCCCATGAGATATTATTTACCTTAGGCCACAACATGGTTCCTAGTTCCCCCAGAGAACTCACTACAGGAAAGGCGAAAGGGTCTTTTCGATTGGCTGTCTCTGTGGAGTTCAGCGAGTGGGCCTTCACCTTATAAGGACATCTGTCATGGCGGTTAGCCCATGTTTCGTCTGTTCACCTTGAAATAAAAGTGTGGCATATGTAAAAATCGGAAGCTTCAGCCATTTTCGAATTCTGATGTTGAGGATTATCTAAGTCTTGTGGAGGCACTGCAGGACTGGTCACCATCTTATCATGAGGCAGAGTTAACAACTCCGAATAGTTAGAGACTTCAAATAGCTTAGCGTACAAAATATTGCGTGGACTTTGTTCATGCTTCTACCAACGCCTAATGTGTTTTTCTTAGGACCAAAGTAGCAATTTCACTGCCTGAGACTGAGACACTACGAAATTCCGCTTTGAAATCCGGTACCTGAACACATCACTCCTGGCTTTTTTTCTCGGAATACGAATACACAACTCTTATATGAATTGCGATACTGGTTGATTTTAGCCGTTGTAGGAAATCATATAGGTGTGATGGATGCTTTTTCTCCGTTTGCACGCCGACCCTTCCAGAGCGTATACACTCAAATTTCAAGCTTCCGTTCAATCGCACATTAACTCACGTTAATGTACTCATCCACATTCCTAACGTCCAGGTAGACCACAGGAGATTCACGATTCACTTTTAGAAAGGCTTACGCATTTATGAGATTTTATTTGAACTTCACTCTATCAAGCTCCTGAAGCTCTACGCTCTGGATACACGAAAGCTACCCTGAATTGAGAAACTGTACATCAGTAAGGCGGCGAAAGATGTAACAGATGTTTGGATTAGTGAGACCAAGCTGGCTTCAGATATGATACGTTGGCTGTAGTGGTCACGCATGCCGAGGATACCGGACTGCAGAAGGTTTTCATGCTAACAAAGATAGTGGACATTGGGAATCGCGTTCCAAAGGATTCCAGTGATTGGTATGAAAACGAACAAAACACCAGTGTACAGTAAGAACGCTGAATGAACGAAATCAACACTGGTGATTGACAAGCCAGTCACCCTCATAGGTGAAGCCAGCTAGACGACGTTAATTCTGAGATGTTACTTCCATACTGGACACGGTTGGGAAGCCTGACCAAGTAGAATAAACAAACAAGTGCGCACACTAGTATGACAGCTCCATCCCCAACTAACAGAAAAGCAGACCGAACCCATAAAAACTCAACAAACCGTTATCAGTGCTGTATATACTGCTTTAACCATGGTACCTTCAACAGCCTGAATACTTCTGACTTAAGTACACTTAACTGTGTCAGCCAGTTTTCATACAGGCACACTTAGAACCCTACTATTTATCTTAAACGCAACACACTGGTCTTGTATGCCCACACGGAATGGTTCATTCGAGTGTTTTCAACCCCCCAGGCAAATATCGAAAGATTAACCACACTAGCGAGATTGAAGCATGAGTTAAGATGGCGCAGAAAGAGGATAGAGACAAGCAGAGCGCACAGCTGTCAAGGAAATAAGGAGACAAATGGAGAAACATTTCCCACCGCTGTTCTCTCACAAACAGATTGGAGCACAAAACGAAAAACGAGGGACAAACGGAAAGGCACAGCCAACAGGGAGGAAGAAGCAAGCTTGAAAGCTCGAACTAAAATATAGATCGAAGAATCCAAGTATCGACGTCGATATGTCAAAAAACAACAGATATCTGAGAATAAGAGGATCGAAATATTAACAATTGTAAGGAAAGATGTAGAAGTCGCAAAAAGAGAAAGGCAACAGAGAAATTTGGTGAGTCCAACTTTTAAATGCTCAACGGATCAAAGCGGAAACTGGTAGGGCAATGGACAAAAGCCGCGCGAGGATCGCATCGTTCCCAACATGTTCGATCGAGGTCGTAAGCAGCAATCACACCTCGGAATGTGAGTGAGTAGGTGAGAGGTTGGTAGCAGGGGAACGGGGTTCTAACGACATCTCCTCGTACACTTCATTCTCATTGCCTCGATAGATCCCTACCTCATAAGCTACCACGGTGGCGTGATCCAGTTTCCCAGGTAAACTCTTCAGCGTGTCAGCTAACCATTTTCGCTGAGCTTTCACTGGTCCAACACCCAATTCATCTTCTGGCGTACTGATGCTCAGCTGCTTCAAACGAGATGGATTCATGCGTAGTCGTGCTAGGTTAGGATCTTGGAGTAACTCACGTTTGCGTGAAGTTAGCCGGAGTGCATGAGCTATCAATGCCTCGCACAAGTCACGTGCACTAGTCGTACCCCCAACACCAGACGGACCAGAAGTGAACGCATCTGTTTCGTGCCATATACGCTCCAATTCCTTTCCGGCATAGCGTCGCCGCTCTGTACAACTTAATTCTAGCTGGTTGGTAAAATTTAAATTCCGTGCGCTGATAGCATCATTCGGTTGTTGTTCAAAGGGGCCAAGTGTTTTTTGAACACCACATGGATCCAGCAGGTTGGGAAGCGAACAAGGGCAAGATGCTGTTGGTGGAGGTGGTGGAGGTCGAGGCCAGATAGAAATTTGAGGAGGCGGGGACAAACTGAGGGGTTTGGACCAAGATGTTGCCGGATACCCACATTGGGTGCTTACTTCGTCCACTGTCGAAGAGTCGTCATCACACTCCGCTGCGTCATCTACAAAATCCAGCCTGGGTGATTCTGGGACTGCAATTTGCGTGATTATTGGGTCGAAGTTGTCGGTGAGACCATCGGAGCCAAGAATAACTAGATCACCCGGATCACACAGGGTTACTGAAGGACAAGAAAAAAGTTGTATGGTTAGCTACCGGTCGGCTCGTCATAAAAAATGAGTTGGTAATGGACAGCTTAACATTGACAGATAAAACAGATAATATCAGGTAGAAGATGCAAGTGAACAAATCGTGCACTCATATAGTGTAGCTCCTTAATGCATCACCATCATCACTATCAACGGCATAAGATCGACGTTCAACACTGATGTTCTGCTACAGTATTTTAGAATTTCATTAGAGAAGCCAATCTATGCTGAAAAGCCGGGAAGCATTGTGTAGCTGTCTCATCCATACTGGGAATTATCAGCAGTGTGCATCTCATGAAACTCCGGGGAGTGGCAATGTTGTGGAAGGTAGGTAGCTCGGGTGCGCTGCTTGGTTGTTTGCCTGTTCGTTGTGCTCGGTAGTCGGATTGCAAACGTGTCATCATTAATCGAGGTGACATCGTCAGTCACTCAACCGCGCCCCTTGATTAGGATGAAACGTTTACAATCCAACTACCAAACTCGGCGAACAGGCAAACAACCAAACTCCAGGGAGTCTCCAATCCGCAATCTAGTGCTTGATAGTTTGAACACAACTGTTAGGCCATGAGCGGTAAGTGTTGAGCAGATAGAAAAGATAAAAAGTAAGCTGAATTCGGCGTCGAAATATCAGATGAAGAAAATCGAGGCTAAATTGTCTCATCAAAATTAGTTGTGTCGAAAAAAAGGCGGATATTTTTACCAGTGAAGTGAGCTACGGCAAACAAGGACAGCAATAAAGCGAAACGGTGGAAATTACGACATATGACATGTACGTCTGCACTGAACAGAGTCCGCATGAACTGTGGATGGACTCCAAATACACGCACCCTGATAGAATATATACCACGCACACGGACCACTAAGTAGATCGTGCTAGAAATGCATTATGGACCGATCACGGCCCATGATAAAAAAACAGGTGTGATACGAAGGACATATGTAATGACACAGTGGTCAGCTGGTAACAACACGTGACACCCGTGTTTACGCTACACACAAGTCGGGTAAATATTGAGGCCCATAGCTTAAAAATGCATTCAATACTGCGCATAGACACGGAGAGCAAGAGATACGAAATGGCTCCAAAAGATTACGCAAAATCTGTGTGACTACGGTAACCAAGAGCTAAAATGTGCACTCCTGGTGCAAGAACGTGTCTTAGGGGGACAACAAAAAAGAAACGATTAAAGGTCACTGTTAATTCCGTAAAACTGCATTATTCGTAAAAGGCACCACTCATAGGCCGCTCACCAAAAGGATGCACGTGGGCAGCGGAAAAACCGCATTGTTGTTTGGAATGATATATGGAGTGCAACATGAGAAAGACGGGATCCTTCAAGTGAAATTCGAACACGAAACTCGTGTGCCTATCGGTTGGTGTTTTAGATTGACCAGGTGAGTTAACGGGAGAAACACTAACAAACTCCTCTTTCATTGGTGAGCAGGATCGAGCGCTGTGAAAACATGCATAGCTTCGAGCAGCGGGTGACACGTACGGGGATGGAAACGAGATAAACAGCTAGTCAGCCATTCAGGTTTCAGTTCAACGCATCAGCTTGAAATCGAGTGCGAAAACTGTGGCATGTTTCGTCCGGCGGTGACAGGCAAAGTGGAGAAAGGACAGACACACAAAAGAGGCTACCTTTATTAACTGCCAACTGTGAGGGATCCTTAAAGTCAAAAGCGAAGAACAGAAAACATCCAACATTGACTATTGTCTATCGACTGTTCGATCCATTAGTGAAACAATTGTAATAGCCAGCTAAAAACACGTATTTATTTTGGAAAAAAACGTCTGCAACAGTAGGTGCAGAGTTCGAAATGAAGACAAGTTACAAAGTGGCTGAAAAAGAAAGAAAAAACGGAGTGTTCTTTCTCACTCGAAGTCTTGGTAAAGAAATTGGAAGTGTAGGTGGGAAGTAAGCGAATCAGGGTAGTTAGTGTGATACCGACCGATTTCCGATCTCTTCCAAGCGCATTGCAAAACTTATCTTTTTCAAGAACGGAGCGAATTTCATTTGATCGCCTGCAATCCTGTTATAATGCGTTAATTTAAACTTAGTGTGGAACGAACTATCACTCCGAAAATGATGTTTATTGGCTGGAGCTCGATCACAACAATCGTATTACTAAGGTGTTCGATTTGGACACTTAAGTTCAACCAGCGGGATCACGTACGAATGATGGAACACAAGGGACGTGAATATCTGCATTCGAAAGATAGTGCTCGGCTTTTATGAACAAGTAGCTGTCTCATCCATACTGGGAATTATCAGCAGTGTGCATCTCATGAAACTCCGGGGAGTGGCAATGTTGTGGAATGTAGGTAGCTCGGGTGCGCTGCTTGGTTGTTTGCCTGTTCGTTGTGCTCGGTAGTCGGATTGCAAACGTGTCATCATTAATCGAGGTGACATCGTCAGTCACTCAACCGCGCCCCTTGATTAGGATGAAACGTTTACAATCCAACTACCAAACTCGGCGAACAGGCAAACAACCAAACTCCAGGGAGTCTCCAATCCGCAATCTAGTGCTTGATAGTTTGAACACAACTGTTAGGCCATGAGCGGTAAGTGTTGAGCAGATAGAAAAGATAAAAAGTAAGCTGAATTCGGCGTCGAAATATCAGATGAAGAAAATCGAGGCTAAATTGTCTCATCAAAATTAGTTGTGTCGAAAAAAAGGCGGATATTTTTACCAGTGAAGTGAGCTACGGCAAACAAGGACAGCAATAAAGCGAAACGGTGGAAATTACGACATATGACATGTACGTCTGCACTGAACAGAGTCCGCATGAACTGTGGATGGACTCCAAATACACGCACCCTGATAGAATATATACCACGCACACGGACCACTAAGTAGATCGTGCTAGAAATGCATTATGGACCGATCACGGCCCATGATAAAAAAACAGGTGTGATACGAAGGACATATGTAATGACACAGTGGTCAGCTGGTAACAACACGTGACACCCGTGTTTACGCTACACACAAGTCGGGTAAATATTGAGGCCCATAGCTTAAAAATGCATTCAATACTGCGCATAGACACGGAGAGCAAGAGATACGAAATGGCTCCAAAAGATTACGCAAAATCTGTGTGACTACGGTAACCAAGAGCTAAAATGTGCACTCCTGGTGCAAGAACGTGTCTTAGGGGGACAACAAAAAAGAAACGATTGAAGGTCACTGTTAATTCCGCACTCCTGGTGAACGTGTCTTAGGGGGACAACAAAAAAGAAACGATTAAAGGTCACTGTTAATTCCGTAAAACTGCATTATTCGTAAAAGGAAGGCCTCATAGGCCGCTCACCAAAAGGATGCACGTGGGCAGCGGAAAAACCGCTGTGAAAACATGCATAGCTTCGAGCAGCGGGTGACACGTACGGGGATGGAAACGAGATAAACAGCTAGTCAGCCATTCAGGTTTCAGTTCAACGCATCAGCTTGAAATCGAGTGCGAAAACTGGTGGCATGTTTCGTCCGGCGGTGACAGGCAAAGTGGAGAAAGGACAGACACACAAAAGAGGCTACCTTTATTAACTGCCAACTGTGAGGGATCTTTAAAGTCAAAAGCGAAGAACAGAAAACATCCAACATTGACTATTGTCTATCGACTGTTCGATCCATTAGTGAAACAATTGTAATAGCCAGCTAAAAACACGTATTTATTTTGGAAAAAAACGTCTGCAACAGTAGGTGCAGAGTTCGAAATGAAGACAAGTTACAAAGTGGCTGAAAAAGAAAGAAAAAACGGAATGTTCTTTCTCACTCGAAGTCTTGGTAAAGAAATTGGAAGTGTAGGTGGGAAGTAAGCGAATCAGGGTAGTTAGTGTGATACCGACCGATTTCCGATCTCTTCCAAGCGCATTGCAAAACTTATCTTTTTCAAGAACGGAGCGAATTTCATTTGATCGCCTGCAATCCTGTTATAATGCGTTAATTTAAACTTAGTGTGGAACGAACTATCACTCCGAAAATGATGTTTATTGGCTGGAGCTCGATCACAACAATCGTATTACTAAGGTGTTCGATTTGGACACTTAAGTTCAACCAGCGGGATCACGTACGAATGATGGAACACAAGGGACGTGAATATCTGCATTCGAAAGATAGTGCTCGGCTTTTATGAACAACACGAGGGTTATCGCCTTCGGTGATAGTTTGAACAAGGTCTAAACTGGGTGACTAAAATACAAAATGAAACACCACAATTTGATTTATCAAGACAGAGTAAGTAGAAAATTGGGCTTAGTTCACCATCGCGGAATGTTGTTAACTAAGTAAAACAATGTACTGTCGTTCTAAGACGGACGCACGAATATAAACCTAGCGGGCCAAACTCCAAATCATACGGTTGGAGTGCCTCCTGCAAAAGAAAACCTGAATTACTGGCTGAGTGATGAAGAAGCGAATGCCTCCTTCAGTAGCAAACTCACTAAGCGAATATGGGAGGTAAATGGCGGGGTGCGAACACTGAAGTAAAAAAAATAACAGCACATACCCGCACAAATAAGGTTGTGTAGCTCTGGATTACCGTTGGTATATACTGACCCCAAAGCTCCGCCAGCATCTCGGAAGTCTCGAGGTGGGGGTGAGGTTGGAGAAAGATCGGGTGATGCAGGCCAAGAGTCCACACCAAACGGACCGGAACGCAACCGGTCCACGTTGGCACCATTCACTGTTGTCGGAACCCAGCCAGTAATCTCCCGAATTCCATGAAATTTGCTTAACAAAAAAGCCTGTGAATCTCCAACGCTGACGACCACCACGGCGAACTGTTGGGGCTTCCTGGTCAAGGAACGTTCCTGAGAGGTTGTACTGGATTTAGACGGAGAGGCTGCCTGGTTAACAGGTAACACCAGTGCAACACATAAGGTAGTTAGCCCCGTCGTACAACCAACAATGCGTTCTTGAGCAGCAGAAAAGGCCTCGAACAACAGCTGAGCGGCATCCTGAATCAAGAAGGGTTTATAGATTTAGAAAAATACACTATATGGAATAAAAAGGAGGAGTAGTCCCAAAGAAGACTGGATAGAACTCAATAATGAGCATTCTATGGAGAATGCGGACAAAACCGGCGTTCATGTGAAACAGACGGTTCACTTCAGAAAACCATCGTTATGGCGGAAGGACTAAATGGTATCGATCACTGGGAGCGTGTTCCCGGGACTTTTTGAACTGAACTGCAAGACGGCTCACCTGAGTTGAGTTCAGCGTAAGCTTGGTTGAATCTGAACCATATAAATGGGTTTCTAGGTACTCGTACACCGCCAGGATTGCACATCGAGCTGCTTGCATTGCATCCCGACCCCAGTTGACACCATCAGCGACAGCCAAAAACGCAGAGTCACAACGAGCTTGAACAATGAAAGCATCCGCATTTGGTTCACCTGTTTTGCAGAAAGAGAAGCTTATTGATTTCCAGTTTACACTATTTCCAACAGCAACCTCAAGAACAAATTTACACACACGACCTTAACGGGCTACACTATTTTGAACAAGGTCTAAACTGGGTGACTAAAATACAAAATGAAACACCACAATTTGATTTATCAAGACAGAGTAAGTAGAAAATTGGGCTTAGTTCACCATCGCGGAATGTTGTTAACTAAGTAAAACAATGTACTGTCGTTCTAAGACGGACGCACGAATATAAACCTAGCGAGCCAAACTCCAAATCATACGGTTGGAGTGCCTCCTGCAAAAGAAAACCTGAATTACTGGCTGAGTGATGAAGAAGCGAATGCCTCCTTCAGTAGCAAACTCACTAAGCGAATATGGGAGGTAAATGGCGGGGTGCGAACACTGAAGTAAAAAAAAATAACAGCACATACCCGCACAAATAAGGTTGTGTAGCTCTGGATTACCGTTGGTATATACTGACCCCAAAGCTCCGCCAGCATCTCGGAAGTCTCGAGGTGGGGGTGAGGTTGGAGAAAGATCGGGTGATGCAGGCCAAGAGTCCACACCAAACGGACCGGAACGCAACCGGTCCACGTTGGCACCATTCACTGTTGTCGGAACCCAGCCAGTAATCTCCCGAATTCCATGAAATTTGCTTAACAAAAAAGCCTGTGAATCTCCAACGCTGACGACCACCACGGCGAACTGTTGGGGCTTCCTGGTCAAGGAACGTTCCTGAGAGGTTGTACTGGATTTAGACGGAGAGGCTGCCTGGTTAACCGGTAACACCAGTGCAACACATAAGGTAGTTAGCCCCGTCGTACAACCAACAATGCGTTCTTGAGCAGCAGAAAAGGCCTCGAACAACAGCTGAGCGGCATCCTGAATCAAGAAGGGTTTATAGATTTAGAAAAATACACTATATGGAATAAAAAGGAGGAGTAGTCCCAAAGAAGACTGGATAGAACTCAATAATGAGCATTCTATGGAGAATGCGGACAAAACCGGCGTTCATGTGAAACAGACGGTTCACTTCAGAAAACCATCGTTATGGCGGAAGGACTAAATGGTATCGATCACTGGGAGCGTGTTCCCGGGACTTTTTGAACTGAACTGCAAGACGGCTCACCTGAGTTGAGTTCAGCGTAAGCTTGGTTGAATCTGAACCATATAAATGGGTTTCTAGGTACTCGTACACCGCCAGGATTGCACATCGAGCTGCTTGCATTGCATCCCGACCCCAGTTGACACCATCAGCGACAGCCAAAAACGCAGAGTCACAACGAGCTTGAACAATGAAAGCATCCGCATTTGGTTCACCTGTTTTGCAGAAAGAGAAGCTTATTGATTTCCAGTTTACACTATTTCCAACAGCAACCTCAAGAACAAATTTACACACACGACCTTAACGGGCTACACTATGGAGTTGTGTGGTGATGAGACACTGAAAGAAACAGAGACTCTTAGGAGGACATGCACAACAGTCTTGTGAAGGCAGGAGATCTAAAATGTCTTGTCAGATAGAACAAGATCGTCGTCCAATCACAACAAGATAAATAGTCCATAACTTCTTTGAATATTACCGAAGAGACCAAAGCGACTACTCCCTTTCTGTACAGCTACACCCATCAGCGCCAAGGCTGGAAATAACCATCTTCCAGAGCATCAAGAGAAAATGGTAAGAGTTTTGCTGGGCGGGGCCGATGAATGCAGCGAGAGCCTGAACTTACGCCATCGTACATCGGTGAAGGCTATATTGTACAAAACGCATTGGTACAAAGCACTGTGAAAACGTCTATACCCCGCCTCATAAAAGAGATGGTCATGTCAAAGACGGAAGAACATTATTGTTCTTCTATTCTCGATAATGCTAGGTATTAACATAACCGAGTCTTCTATCAGTGACACCAGTTCTAGTGCCTGACGGCACGGGCCTCGAGTAGTTCAGCGGATTGCATCGGTTACACGACCTGCATTCGAAAATCCGGACGTGTGCCTTCAAAATGGGTCCTGGTGGTAGGTGTGCATATTAATAAATCCAAATGGACGTGAAAACATACTCTTAGGGTACTCATTGAACGGAATATAGACAACCGAATAGGACACAATATCAACTTTTGTACTCAATCGTACACCACGCTACCTTGCAGCGTTTTCTGTGTGCGATGAACACAGACGTCAGTATGACGTCTTGGTAAATAAGAGTTTCACCTGGAGAACTAAAGGCCAAAACCTGGAAAAGAGCGTAAAAACTAAACGACAGTTAAACTGGGAACTAAGATCATGTGACGGCATCTGTTAGGCGGTGACGCAGAACAGAAATAATCAACAGGATAGCATAAAGTGACAGAAAATAAAAAGTGAGCCTGATCGGACAAATACACAAGTGTGTTTTGTCCACCCAGGTGTCTAGGTGCACGTCACAACCTGCTAATAGCCGAGCGGCTGTGTGAAGCCAACCAGGCCGACGCAATCTATGGAATTCTGAGCAAAAATGCTAATGCCGATACGAACTAGAAAGCAGACCAAACAAATTTGCATTGGATCAAAACATCGGGATGGCAACAGTAGATGAAACATCGATGAATAACGTTCAAGAACACTAACCGGAAACGCGGTCAGTCAGTGGATTCTTTTCGTACAGTGAAACGGATATACCGTGGGCTTTCCTGTTCCGTAATGGCTTCCAAGATTCAACCAGAGCTTTAAATGCAACGGAAACAGGAAACAGGCAGCAAGCACTACAGATCAGCGGGAGGAATTAAATACGAAGAATTTCGGAGTACATATTGGAGGGTTACGCGAATGAACAAGAACATGGATCTTAAAAGTTACCAGAGAAAAATAAGTATAATCTGCATTTTCAGACAGACTGCGAGATGAGTGCTCGTATTAGTGGTCGTCATTGTCCGGTGATGAAGCCTCAATTTATTGCAAATTACTATCTCGGTTCATTAGGATTGCTGTTCACTCGATTTTTTCGTTCAACTGTAGCACCATTTCGGTGCCTAAACGCCATTCCACCCGAAGGAAACACGAGGGCTGGGAAACTACCTGGTTCCCCAAGCCTAGACAGGGTAAGTCGAGGAGCAAAAGTCGCTTTCGAACCACGGGCGTTTCGGTCAGCAAATTCACGCTCTAACCAACTGAGCCATCTCACTCGGCTGATCACTGGCGAAGTCTGATTCCTTCAGATTTGACAAGAATAAATCCAGTAATTGCAAACTGATTCTGACATTATTTCTTCTGCGTTTGTCTCCTCTCCATATCGAGCGCCCGACACTTCGGAATACACGAAAATGTATTCCGTCGAGACGTCAATACTTCCATCTAGTAGTCAATAACTCTTGCTATGTCACCGTCATATAGGGCCTAACCACTGCAGCGCTGTGACCCAGAAAAGATAGTAATCTGAGTTTATATATATATATACATATGTACGGAGGCTGAACATTTCCACCAAAAAGCCGTAAACGACTAAAAGGTAGTTCAAACCTAGCTTAGACTGACCATAAACCATATTAATGCATTATCCACAAGGCTTTTGTTGGGCCAATACTATGCGTATGAACCACACATCGAGCGAATAGAACTACTGCATTGTAGAGGTAACCATAGTAGAAAGTCGGAAAGTATGTTTGAAAACCAGACGAGGTCATTAAATAAAAAGAGTAGGTTCCACAACATTTCACCACCTCATATTTCAGCGAATGAATACAATGATGACCTCAAAAGCAACAAATAAAACCTGACCAGTAATAGTGGCGAAAATCCTTCACATGGAAACAAGGGGTATGATTGAGCCACAGAAAACAGCAAGTAAACGAAAGAGTTTGGATATAACAAACTGTGTTACATTCGTGGATGTCATGTTCCTGTGGACACTATAAAAATGACTGCTGAATCATTGCGGATAACCACCATAAAATGGTTCACTTCAAAGAAACCTATCCTGTGGCTCCTTTCATTTCTAGCATCAAAGTAAGGACAGCCTTGATCAGTCATCCTGGATCTTTAAACACCCTGGTCGATCATGCAGACAAAGGCGACACATTATCGTTACACAGGGACCGTATCAGGCGCGATCATGTCTCGAAAGATACCACAAAAAAGCCCTTAGGTAGCAGTATCCTCGGTGCACTTTGAACAGTTCAGTGCATCCACAACCAAGGGTGACATCTGAGGTGCTTAACATGGTTGAATTGGCCACCAAACATACCGGCGAAAAATATCTTAAAGTAAGTTAATTTCTTTCAGAACATGGCAAAAGTAGTCCTGGATAGAAACGGTTCTCGTCCTGTTGGAAGGTACTTGATCCGGAAAAACCAGAATGACTCGAGGCAAACTGGACGGATTAATGCCAGTCAACAGCGTGACAATAAAGGTTAGAAAGTCGGGACAAAAAGCCCGTGAAAGATAGTTGTCACAGCGTCGGAATGACTAGTTGGAGGACTGGCACAATGTGACCACAGCATTTAGACGATTGGATTGTGTAATTCCAAACAGTAACCACAGGTCAATCATGTGCCTTAAAACAGGAAATCCACTGGCAGTTTGTCTGGTGTGCGTTGGTTTGTCTCGAAACACAGTGAAAAAAGGACTAACTGTGCAGAGCATTGCATAACAAAATGAAAAGCAATTCGAACCGGAGAAGGGAAAATAGATCGTCCTGTGGAAGATTGTCGTCAACAAGCGCATTTAATCGATAACATGCGTAGTCAATGAGTACAGATGGCAGGCGCGCGTCCATTAGTGCACGCATTGTTGTGGTTTTACTAAGTGAGGATGTGAAATAGGTCAACCAGATATCTGAACGTGACTGAGAAGTGTGGACACGAATTTCACATGCGAACCGAATAATAATAATAATAATAATAATGTAACACCATTCAAATGGCCTGGCTGACACGCCACTTGAAAGCAAAATAGGGGCATGGACACTGTCTGGTTGCCAAAGCGTAAACAGGCGGAGTATGGATATATAAGTTGAGTTCGAAACACAGATCTTCCGGTCAGTAAGTCCGTACCTTAATCGCCGGGCTATCTTGAGCTCAGTGCAAGCCAATACCCAGATGATTCCGAATTATTCAAGCGGAGCTCAAGTGAATATGATCCCAACATTAAGACGACGATCCTAATCGTCGAAAGATTTCTGGTCCGCTGTCAAGGCGGTTTGTAGTGTTTTAGCAGCATCCAAGCTTAGTTTGCAGGAGAGTGCACCGGTAAAGAAACCAGGCGCTGACCACATGGGTCCTCAATTGGAATATTCTCCGGGAATTCTCGATTACGCTTATAACATCGCTAGTTATCTGGCAGTATCCCAGGTAGATGGTGGCTGTGAGGTGAGGAACCTTCACATATTAACACTTTTCCAACTGAATGCACAATTTTCATTTTCGATGAGGTCATAAAGGGATTTTTAAGGTTTGTAACTATCTTAAATTTTGTGGGTAAAAAGTGGAACTCAAACTCAGAGTTACCTACTTAGCGGTCGCGGTAGTGGTTTTAATTCTCAAGAAAAATTAAACGTTTCTTTTAACAAATTGTCAACCTGTAAACATTCCTTCGAAGTGTGACATGAGTATTCTTACCAGGATTGACAGGCTTCACCTTGGCCCATTTCTGTGTAGCCAGAAATCCGGTATTCGGACCAGTGGCCGCAGAAAAAACTTCATTGGACAACTTCTGCAAAGATATCAATGGAAATACTGCAGCCTCAGGTAGTTCTGCAGGGCTTAGAGCACGCCAAACATCGCACTGAGAGAATACACGGTTGCGAAATCCTAACTCTGAATGGGGGCTCTCACAATTGGTGCTATCACAACTATCTTCACTTGGTGAAGACACAAAGCTGCGACGTAAGGCACGAATTCCTTCTTTGAAACTCCATGATTTTGTGAGCCCGAATTCAGATTTTCCAGCAGGTTTCCCCGGGGGTGCCTTTGCAGTCACGGACATCAGCAAGTGGTCATAATGGGCGAAAAAGCTAAAAGAAAAAAGGGGTCCACGGAAACATGACCATTCGGTAAGCGGACATACAAAGAGTGTTGTAACCAGACATTCGTAAGAGGTGGAGAATGGTTACGGTCGTTGAAGCCATGGTCTTAGTTTCCGTGAAAGTAGGCAACATGGTACAAAAAATGCAACGAGGAAACTACCTCTTCAACAACAAAAAGAAATGGAAAACACCCCAACCTTCAATAAGGCGGCAAGGCGATGGGTTCTGCTATGCGATGGAACGTCCAACAGAGGAAAGGATGGGAAAAACAAGGAGACGCGACTCATCCAGTTGTGCGCTGACGATGGTGTCTGCGGTCAGGGGAATTTTCAGCTCGCAACAGGTGCCCCAGCAGCCACATCAATACTGAAGCATCATCTGGCTGTTAACTAACGGTGAAGAGATGTGGTTCAATACAATCTTCTATTCTGGGATACATCACCCGATTCCGAAAGCACTTTAGTACGGCAAATCCAAAGAGTTGCTTTCTCTAAGGATTTCTCAGGTAGCAAATATGTGTTGATCTATCGTTTTAGTGGATTTTTATAGCCCAGAGTTATCGAAAAGGAGAAATGGAGAAGGGAGAAGTACTTTGGGCTAGCATACCACAAATATACAAGCCTACTCCCAATCAGACAACCTGAGTAGAAACGGACACCATGAACGAAACTGACATCAGTCTGCCGCCATTTCATTCATTGTTTCCAGCCCAAGACGTCGAAATTTCACGGGCCTCATTTTAAAGATCGAAGTCACTAGCAGTGGCAAGGCCCGTGGAGAAACCTGTATTCTCCTTTGTCATATAACATTCTGTCCATTTGTGGGTTTCTGCCACTCAAAATCGGGCACGGAAATCGGCACTCATCTCGGCAGACGATAACTCGGCATGCGTATCTCATGATCCAGCTATCTTAGTTTGCATACATTCTTGGATACATTCTTTGGGCGAAGTACCGTCTGATTCAAAAAAGACATTTTCTCGACCGAATCACCACTGATTCCAAAGACCTTCAGCTGTAGATCCGGGACATATGTAGAAAAAATCTGAGGGTTTCGTATCCTCCGCCCACAGCTGTCAAATATCGCGGCCATACAACAATGAACTGCGCAACGCAGTCTGATATGGGCACTCTTCAAGACCCATTGATGCCTTTTTGATCCAACAAGTCACACGAATGAGCAAATGCGCCTCTGGCCTTTGAGATTCTTTCGTTCATTTATTCCATCACGCTACCGTCGGAATTAATGCAATGTCTGAGATACATATATCGCTTCACAACTTCTGGTACCGCTATTGAATTGCTGAAAGTACGTTCAACGATTGTACGTACCTCAACACGAACCGCACTTTGTAGGCACGAAACACATCTTGCAGGACTGGATGACCTTTGTCGTCTTTCCTAGTAATGCATGCGCTTCCTGCAAAAATGGTAACGATGTCGTCTGTACATCCTAATAATAATAAACACAATCGTTCAGTTGTAACACCCTTTCGGTGCCAAGCTGTGCCACCTGAAGGAAGCACGACAGCTTGAATATTAACAGGTTACCCAGGCCTAGACAGAAGTCGAGATGCGGAGGTCAGGTTCAAACCATGGACCATTCGCTCAGTAAATTCGCGCTCTAACCACTGAGCTATCTAGTCCCCATGGGCCATCTCACCCTCATTCCAGTTCAACAAGGTTTTATCACGAAAAGATCTAAACGCCGGAGTTTTTAAGGCATCCCAGAGCTCACCCCGCTATATCAGCAACGATGACCTTGAACAGAAATGGAGGGAGTGGACACTTGTCCAACGCCCCTGCTCGAAGGAAAGCCTTTGGAAAGCTCCTCATACACTCTCACGTGCCCGCAGTTATTTGAAAAAATAAGGCGTGTGACATATGCTGGAGTATGCGCTGTTTCAAAAGCGTGCCAGTAAGACCAAACCGGCTGAGAAAATCGAACGCACCCTTGGAATTGAGAAACCTCAGGACAAGACGCCTACACGCATGGCGGTACCTTTACACCTGACAGAATCCTGCTTGGTGTTGTCGGGTCACACCCTCAGGTGCTTTCGCAAGACGAAGTGAAATGAGCGACGACTTCAGATGGTTGAGATGGCCTCCTCCACCCGGGTTGAAGCAAATAAATCAATGTACCATCTGAGTATTTTATTCCCATCCTAAAACGGAGCGGGAGAGTTCGTCAGGATTACCAGCTCGGTAAAATTTGAGGCAGAAAAAGACACACGTATATTTCCGGAGCCGTAGGAGGTTCCAAATTCACTGTACATGGTCCCCAGTGTGGTTCATTCATCATGGGCAGCATAACACCACCAGTCGCCCCAATGTATTGCTGAGCATTATGTACACATTCCATTGGGCAGAAAAGAGTAGCAAGTAATGCAGATGCGAATGAATGCTTCATACTGCTGAAGATCAGTGTCATAACGGCACTTGAAGCAGACTATTTCGCAAGTTTACAGATCTGGAAGACAGGCACAACAGTTTTCAGGCTAGCAGTTATGCCCTCAGGTGGCCAGCATATCTGCTGGGCTATGGAGTGAATCCACAAATAAAATTCCCCGAACTCTGAGCTTGCGATCTCTTAGTGATTAAAGCGCAAATTTATTCACAGGAAGGTTTGTGGTTAGAATGCAGTCTCCGTACTCGACTGCTCCTGTCTAGGCTTAGATAGACTGGTAGTATCTCAATCCTCATGCTCCCTTCGGGTGGTATGGCAGCTATGTACCGAAGAGTTATTAGACGTCAAAGATTACATGCTACCATTATTCAGAATAAAGACGTGATGTTCGCGTCAGCGACCAATCAAACACTCAACCTTCGACTCTGAGATTTACGCCGGTGCTACACACCCCAGCATTGACCGGATGAATGTCGCCGTTAGTCTTGACACAGCCTCTTTGGTTCGTAGGGAGGTTTACGGTTAGCTGGCCCATAATATTTGGTAACCTTTACCCACCGTGCCGCCAATGTGTATTCTCGTCTTATGATCGCCTGGCATAACTGGGGTCAGGTAACAAAATCCCAAATTATCGGGGTATCATCTGACCACCTACTGAATACGAAGCATTCGTCAGCTTTCTGTGCATGTCAAGACGTTGACCTTTAGCTAAACTCGTCAGTAGGTCCAGCTCCTCTATTCTTTCCAGGCCGGCTCCAATACTGATCCTTGGGGCACCTCGCTTTCGGCTGGTATTCGTCTACAGAGCTGTCTACTCGTCTTGAATGTGAAGTAACTGCCTCGTAAGTTGAATGTCCAGCACAACAGAGAATCGATAAACCCGTCTTCATGGAACATGGTTAGGGTAACGTTCTGGTGCACACATCAAACTGAAATCCATCTTGCTGGGTTTGATCAGACGACCTGGCTGAGCTTTCGTGTGCCAGCAGCAAGCTGGCGACATGGGATCTATTGGGCGTAAATCCGCGCTTCTCCGATGCCTACATTTAATACTGTTTAATTTAATACTGATTACTTTATTCAGGATGTTTGGTCGAGTGCCTATATTCAATACTGTTGCAATAGTCCCTCTACACACATCTACATAACATCCCTGATTACTTTATTCAGGGTGTTTGGTCGATAACTGATAAGATAACGTAGAACGATTTGATGGTGGCTTTTACAAATATCTGCCTCCAATGATCGATCGGAACTGTCGCAAGGACCAGTCAAGTTGCATAGTAGCAGCGAATGGAAATGTCAGATCCGCAGAACATCAGTGCACCCAAGTGTTGCGGCATCTTGGTGACTTTAGACTTCATCCAATTGCACCTATCATCTTCCATTAAGGCCACGCGGTCCAGTGATTTGGATGGTTCTAGCGCAAGATACACAAACGTGTGCTCGAGTAAACGTCAATGCCTGCTCCATAATTTTTTAGGGCATGGGCCGATTCGCCCATCGGAGGTAGAGGATCAGCTACCCGACAGATGTAGAAGTACACTCAATGAAGTTGCTTCTTGGTACTTTTGAGTAAATAAGGTTTTTATGCTCTTCGCTTGGCAATCTTTAACCAAATGCAATCGTTCTGGAAATTCTTGCGCTAGACCTGGGTTCCCGATATTCCGTTTACCTGACGTATGCAGCAGGTTCAATTTCTCAATCGCGTCGATGTTTGTGCATCTCCAATCGAAAATCTTGCTCTTTTCCTTGAGAAACTCTGGCGCAAACATAAGAGTTCAGTAGGGATCCAAATTTACACCATAAAGGTATTCTTTGGTACTGATGAGTCGCAGGAATGTGCTTCACGGTGTTGAACATCGCTGAAAACTTGGTTCGCCGACGGTTAAGGTTAAGAGCTGAATAGGACCAGCGTCGGTATGAATAGGGTCTCAAAACTGATGAGGTTTCAGTCATTCAGCAAATTGTTGTAGCCAACAGTGAGTCACGGTGCTAACATCGCTGAAAACTTGGTTCGCCAACGGTTAAGGTTAAGAGCTGAATAGGACCAGCGTCGGTATGAATAGGGTCTCAAAACTGATGAGGTTTCAGTCATTCAGCAAATTGTTGTAGCCAACAGTGAGCAGGTTGGAGTTATCCGTAGTGAACCTTGAAAGATCCTTTGGAGTATGCAATCCCACTGCAGTTTTGAGCTCACCAACATAATGGTCGTTACTGATTTTACAATTCGATGGCTGAGATATCTCCAAAAATATTAGGAATTATTTTTACCAAGAAATGACTGTTCGGAGTTGGCTTCATGCGTAGTGATACACTTCGCCTTCTGATCGTTTGATGAAAACGGTGAACGTTAGCAACCAAATGGTTTCACCGCTGAATCAGTTCCTCCCCTATCCCATTCCCCAATCCTCACGCCAACTTCCCAGCGGTCCGCCAACATCACTGTGAGTGTATTTTAGTGTTAAGACTGTGACGGCTTTTCCCCAGGCTGTAGGAAGCATGACCTTATATGCTCAATTCAGCTACAGACTCGGTTGAGGATGGATAGTGTGTTTGAGCCCAATCAGATGTCTTCGGAAGAAACAGGCAGATGTAGGCGCTCCGACATTAATTCTTCATGGTTTTGTCCGAGATTCTGATGTAACGGCGATCTGAAGTCTGGTGAAGTTGTAGTCGGTTGTTGCTGGAACTGCATCCAACTTTTTAGCCACAGGTCATGATAGGCTATTGAGGTGGTGTAGGTTATTTGTATGCTGGATCTTTAGCCGGAACCTCTGTTGAAAGTGAAGTTTAGAAT